GTGTTGTTAACTTGCATATCCTAACAGGCCTATGATGGTTGGTTCTGCATATTTATCACCAAAAACTGCTGTGAATGTTATAGCAAACACAGAAGGGCTCTGCCCTAGAGAATAAATGTGGTCTTAAAACATTAGATTAGTGGTTTTAAAACTTGGTTGTACATCAGAATTCTCCTGGAGAGCATGTTAAAATGCATATTCCTCATTCTTTCCCTGAGAGACTGAATTTGTATGTCTACAGTGGGCCCAGGTACCTGTATTTATATCCAGCACCTTAAGTAATTCTGATGCAGTGATCTAGGAGCACATCTTTAGAAGCGCCAAGTGTCAAATTAAGAGATGAGGCCTCCCTCATTGCTCCATACCCAGGCATATTTTCCTGCTCATGTAACCCAAAATATCTTACAAACAGTACATTTTAATTATTGGTGTCAGCAGAAAGTAGCACAGACATAGCTAACCCAAAAGAGTAGTTTATCTCCCACAAGTAAGGCTTCCTTTTTTTGTTTGTTTTAATGAGTTATATGATTTTTCTTAGAGTCAAATCACCATTTTCTCATCTTATTGCAGTAAACTTTGCTTAGATAAGTCTGAGATAAGGCTAGGTCCCTCATTTTCTTCCAATGTTTTGGATTTTTAAGATTTTACTCAGTTATCAAATTTTGTTTTGAAAAATAAACTAAAAAAATAATACTTTTTAAAAAGAAACCTGACTTGCACACAATTTAAATGTATATTATTTAGTCAACTTATAGGGGAGAGAATAGCTATCTACTTTACAAAAGGATTCTTTACAGAAGAACTTGCTTCCATGAAGAAATACTGTAAGCACAGATCTGCCTAGTGTTTTCAGAGTTTCACTGAAGCATTCGACCTAGGCTCAATGTACATGGAAAACATTTTTCTCATAAAAGTGAGCCACACCTTCAAAACAGCCATGAATTTCACAATCAACTCTTGGGAGTGGGGAGAGAGGGGGAAGACGACCAGGCAGCCATGAAACATGCTTAGTTTGGTATTGAAAGTTTTCCACCAGAATTGTGTACCCAATGTGGAATATCATTGACTGTTCCCTCACATGTTAACTGTTTTAGGAGACAGTCCTGCTGAGTGCTGAGTATAATACAAAGACTTTAAAGGACTCAGGTCTTATCAAAAAGACAAAAATAAACCCCCAAACCCTCAATCTAAAGAGAAAAAGGAGATGTGCTGCATCTCCTGTCATTTGATGATGGTTCCTAATGAAACGGGAACACTGAAATGCATTAAGTATTAAACAAGAAATCTTTCCCAAATACTTAAAGACAAAAGGAGTCTTTAATAAAGACCTGAGTCAGAGAGCCCAATAATTTATCATCTCCCCGAACCACTAGGATGGGCGGGAGAGGCTGTGGTGTGTGCTTCCCTCATCTTGCGGCTTGCCTTGTCCATCTCTGTCTGGATGGAGTAAGTGCTCAATTCTTAGCAAACGACATATTGGAACTGACAGCCTCACTATTGTGTATATAATATGTCATGGCTGACAGATGAAGCGCATTGCAATGGGATATAGCCATCAGCTAAGGCTGGAGGAGGCCTTGTTCTCTGGACCTCTTAAAAAGCACTCCTTCTGGGTCCTCCCTGCCCCTTCTCTGCAGCCCAGCTGAGTGAAGAGCTTAAAGCACCAATCCCCCCGTTACCCCTGATCCTTTGTTGTGCCTTCCCTTTTGTCCACCCCGCACTTTGATTGCTGAGCACTCCCAGCGGGGCAGATTGCAGCTGAAATGGTAGGAACAATGCGATCAGGCAGTGGTCCAGGGAAGCACTAGGGACCGGGCATGCTTAACTGCATTACTCTCAGCTGGTCTGCCCTGGGTGTAAGTGAGCAGGCCCCCACCTTTCAACTGCCAGGGTGAAATCTACCCTTCTGACAGTCTCATGGCCTTCTCCAAAGGCAGAGTTAATTGAAAATTGAAACAATTAGGAGACGGGAAAAAACTAACAGTAAAAATTGCATTGAAGGGGAGTTACCTTATAAGCTCCTTTCGTCTTTAAGTATTTGGGAAGGATTTCTTGTTTAGCACTTAATGCATTTCAGTGGTCCAGTTTCATTAGGAGCCATCATCAAATGACAGATTAGTGGCGTATTGTCTTTTGTGTGCAGCTGTATATTTTGCTGTGGTAATAGGCACCTCGTCCATTTATCTATTTATTTAACAAGCATTTATTGAGAGCTTTCTGGGTACTTGGCTTTGTAGTGGGCCTTGGGGATAAGATGATAAGTCTCTGACCTCAAAGTACTTACAGTCTAGGAAAAGGAGACAGAAAAGTACACAAATAAATGCCACCTAGCAGTATAAAGACTGTGATAGATGTGTTTATGGGAGGCAGTGGCACATATAGGAGATATACAGAGAATAAGAAATTAGGCTTAAGGCAGCGACTGTGTTTGCAGACATGTTGCAATATATGGATCATTTATCTCACTATTGACAAAACGAGATACTTGTAGTAAAATGTATGTTTCTTCATTCAATCAGTATACGTTCGTGGAGTGCCTACTGTGTGCCAAGTACTCTTCCTGTACCTCTGTGATGGTGTGTACAGGCAAGAAGGTGAGATAGGCATTTAATTCAATTAGCAGACAAATCAAATGTAAAACTAAAACTATGGTAGGTACCATAAAGATAAGTTACATGGTTTTATGAAAACTAGGGGTATTTCTGTAAGGCAGGTGAGTCTCCCCAGGATTGAGCTGAAGCCAAAACATGAGGAAAACACTAATTAGGGACTCTGGTGGGTACCAAGAATAAGATAATGGAACAACAGAGGAAAAAAATGGTAGGAGTTAGGGCCCAAAATCCTGGCCTGGCATCACCATGGAGCCTCTCCGTGGACTTTGGTTTCCAGAACTAGAAAAGTAGTGGAGGTAGAGGTGGGAAGAAAGAAGGCTACTGCAAGTCTTGTTTTACCCAGGTCCAAAACAGTTACACCTTTTGTGTCACTATTATTTTTAATAATCACTCCTACTAACCCTCAAGATGCCCCAGTATGACTCATCATACACTGATATCCTAAGGAACAAAAAACTTAACCACCATGAGCTCCTCTAGACCTGTGATCCTGTGAGTAAACACAGAGTGCCAGCTAATGTCCCAAGCATAAATAGAAACTAGCAAGGCCCCGATTCATAAAAGATAAGTAAGTGGTGCTTAATATTTTATGCCACAAATAAGATTTCTATGTTTTTGTTGAGAATGGAATAGCAGCTTATGTCCACAGCAGTAATGCTAGTAAACACCCTCAAGGGGTAGGATTAATTCTCTATATGTTGATGATGGTGGTGTTTCTACTGTAAGTTGCAAGATGAATAAAAAAGTTAAATAAATTATTTTCTTAATTTTCCCCTGGGTATTTACAGGCTTCACTTGAGGAAACTATCTCATGATACTTAGAAAATACTGTAAGTATAAACAGGATTTCACAAAATCAGGGAGGCAGGAAATAACCCTAGGGATTCCAGAAACTAGTGTGAAGGAAATCCTAGTTGCATGACTCCCTTGAATTGTCCCTGTAATGCTGTATGCCATCTGTGATTTGACTCTTAGCAGGGGCTATAAGACATGTTTTCCTATAGCATAAGTTCTATAACTTCAATGAAAAATAAATGGAGATAAAATGAGATACAAAAAGATAGATAATTACCAGCCAAAATTTTCTACATTCATGAAGACAATTATCATATACTTCTTGGAGGGGTTATTATTCAAAGCAATTTACAAATATTGTCGCTTCTTTAATAGTTCTTAGGTAATATATCCTGTAAGTTTACTACTCTATAAATTGGGCTTATAATAAACCTTAAGAAATGCTTCTTTGTACTAGTAGCATGGCTTAAAATCCATCTGGAACAGTGAAAGAATATTTTTATTAAAAATAGCTTTAATATCTCCAAACAATGTATTCACTATCCATTCCCATTGTGGTTTTGTAGACACTGATTAAGTTATGCCTCCAGCACCAGGTTCAGCTTTTAATTTTAGCTGGAGAGAGTCAGTCCTAAGGAAGATGCTGGAGACATTCCTTTAGAATCAATGTAGGGGAAACACAGCTGACAAAGTTCAGAGGAGTCATCTTGAATGACTGATTTTTTTTTTTTTTTCCTGACACATTTGTCTAGCAGTCTCAAGGTTTCCTTTGAGACTATCTAAGAGTTTCCTCAAGAAAGCAATAAGTGCGTAATATAAGTTTAAAGATTCCTTTGCATGCTAACCCCTAAACACAGCAACACTCCTAGAGTCCACAAGGATTTGAAGGCTTAGGAAAATTCTTTTATGTTTCTTTTCTTCTCCCATTTCTTCTCTATGCTCTTGATTGGTCCACTTTCTCCCATGCAGGAGTCACACTTCTCCCCTTAATTCCTCAACCTGGGCTGGTTTTACTGGTTAAAGTGGTTCCTTATGAGCTACTTGTACAGAGACGTTGAACTCTAAGACTAAGTACAAGCTCAAATGAACTGGTACAGAAGGAAGGGAGGAAAAACATACATTTGAAGAGAAACAGGGACAGAAATAAGAGGCTGCCAGAGTTAGGTGAAAGAACACAGGAAGTCCAGAAGTTCCGATTCTCTCCTGAGATTTGCCCTCTTTGGCAGGACTCTCCATTGTTCAGGCCTCAGCTTCTTCAGTTGTAAAAATGTAAAAAGGCATTGGGCTAAGTGACCTTTAGGGCCCCTCCTTCCTCTCTCTAAAGATTGCACTAAACCAAGGTAGGTCAAGATTCCTGTTACTCTGGGAAAAAAGACAACAATTAAAGCATGCTTACTGATGTTCAAAACCAGTGCAATATATCTTTACCACTCGATTGAGAAAACCTCTGTAAAACATTCTAACAATAAAGGTGGCTCTTCACGTAGGTATTCATTTCCAACTTTCAGACTTTTGATGTTAAATATTAAGTAGCTTCAACATGCTCATCTTTGTTTCTCTCTCTCTCTACCTTTTCACTCCACCCACCCCTAGGCTTACGAGAGGCCCCAGAAACATTCAGCTCTCCATTATGACACAGGCCTCCCACAGGACTTCACCGGTGACACCTTAAAACCAAAGCACCAGCAAAAAAACAGCAGCCAGAACCACATGGACTGGTCCACCAACTCTGACAGCGGACCTGTCACTCAGAATTGCTTCATCAGTCCAGAGTCTGGCAGAGAAACTGCAAGCACCAGCAAGATCCCAGCTCTTGAGCCCGTGGCTTCCTTTGCAAAGGCCCAGGGTAAGAAAGGCAGTGCAGGGAACACGTGGAGTCAGTTGTCTAACAGTAACAAAGATCTGCTCTTGGGAGGTGTGGCTCCATCCCCAAGCAGCCACAGCTCACCAGCCCCACCCAGCAGCTCTGCTGAGTGCAATGGGCTTCAGCCTTTGGTGGATCAAGATGGAGGAGGTACAAAGGAGCCCCCAGAACCACCTACTGTGAGCAGCAAGAAAAAGTCCAGTAAAAAAGATGTGATAAGTCAGACCATACCAAACTCAGACCTGGATTGGGTCAAGAATGCCCAGAAAGCATTCGACAATACAGAAGGGAAAAGGGAAAGTTATTCTGCAGATAGTGCCCAAGAGGCATCACCAGCCAGGCAGAACGTGAGTTCTGCCAGTAATCCTGAAAATGACCCAAGTCATGTCCGGATTACTATCCCCATCAAGGCACCCTCTCTGGATCCAACCAACCATAAGAGGAAAAAGAGACAGTCCATTAAAGCGGTGGTGGAAAAGATCATCCCAGAGAAAGCCCTGGCTTCTGGACTCACTATGAGCAGTGAAGTAGTTAACAGGATACTTTCCAGCTCTGAGGGGAATAAGAAGGATCCCCGTGTCCCTAAGTTGGGTAAAATGATAGAGAATGAGTCCCCCTCAGTTGGCCTTGAAACTGGTGGAAATGCCGAGAAAGTTATCCCAGGAGGTGTGTCTAAGCCGCGGAAGCCGCCCATGGTCATGACATCTCCAACATGCACAGATCACTCTCCACCAAGAAAGCTGCCGGAAATCCAACATCCAAAATTTGCTGCAAAACGAAGGTGGACTTGCAGCAAACCGAAACCCAGCAGCATGCTTCGAGAGGCAGTTATGGCCACCTCTGATAAACTGATGCTGGAGCCCCCGTCTGCGTATCCCATCACCCCATCCAGCCCTCTGTACACCAACACAGACAGTCTTACTGTGATCACTCCAGTCAAAAAGAAACGGGGACGACCAAAGAAGCAGCCTTTGCTCACAGTTGAGACGATTCATGAGGGTACTTCCACCAGCCCCGTCAGTCCCATCAGCCGAGAGTTTCCTGGCACTAAGAAAAGAAAGCGACGACGCAATCTAGCGAAGTTGGCCCAGCTAGTGCCAGGAGAGGACAAACCCATGAGTGAGATGAAATTTCACAAGAAAGTTGGAAAGCTCGGCGTGTTGGATAAGAAGACCATCAAAACTATCAATAAGATGAAGACACTAAAGAGGAAAAACATCTTGAACCAGATCTTGTCCTGTTCCAGCAGCGTTGCTCTGAAGGCAAAAGCTCCCCCAGAGACCAGCCCTGGGGCAGCAGCCATTGAAAGCAAACTGGGCAAGCAGATTAATGTCAGCAAGAGGGGAACCATCTACATTGGCAAGAAGCGGGGCAGGAAGCCAAGAGCAGAGCTGCCACCCCCATCAGAAGAACCCAAAACAGCCATCAAGCACCCCAGGCCTGTTTCTAGCCAGCCGGATGTTCCAGCCGTGCCTTCCAACTTTCAGTCACTTGTGGCATCTTCACCAGCAGCTATGCACCCACTTTCAACACAGTTAGGTGGGTCAAATGGCAACCTGAGCCCTGCCAGCACTGAAACCAATTTTTCAGAGTTGAAAACTATGCCAAATCTCCAGCCCATCAGTGCTCTTCCAACCAAAACCCAAAAGGGAATACACAGTGGAACCTGGAAGCTGTCTCCACCCAGACTGATGGCCAACTCTCCTTCACACCTGTGCGAGATTGGCTCCCTAAAGGAAATCACGCTGTCCCCTGTGAGCGAGTCCCACAGTGAGGAGACGATCCCCAGCGACAGCGGCATTGGGACAGACAACAATAGCACTTCTGACCAAGCGGAGAAGAGTTCAGAATCCCGAAGGCGGTACTCTTTTGACTTCTGCTCCCTGGACAACCCGGAGGCCATTCCGTCAGACACCAGCACAAAGAACCGGCATGGCCACCGGCAGAAGCATCTCATTGTGGACAACTTTCTGGCCCACGAAAGCCTCAAGAAGCCAAAGCACAAGAGGAAACGGAAAAGCCTGCAAAACCGTGATGACCTCCAGTTTCTGGCAGACCTGGAGGAGCTCATCACCAAGTTCCAAGTGTTCAGAATCTCCCACCGGAGTTACACCTTCTACCACGAGAATCCATATCCCAGCATTTTTCGTATTAATTTTGATCACTATTACCCAGTGCCATATATCCAGTATGACCCGTTGCTCTATCTTCGTAGGACTTCAGACTTGAAGTCAAAGAAGAAGCGTGGTAGGCCTGCAAAAACCAATGACACCATGACAAAGGTGCCTTTTTTACAAGGGTTCAGCTACCCTATTCCCAGTGGAAGTTACTATGCACCCTATGGAATGCCTTACACATCAATGCCTATGATGAACCTTGGTTATTACGGTCAGTACCCAGCTCCTTTGTACCTATCGCACACGCTTGGAGCAGCCTCCCCATTCATGAGGCCAACAGTGCCACCACCTCAGTTCCACACAAACTCCCACATAAAGATGTCCGGTGCAGCTAAGCATAAAGCTAAGCATGGAGTACACCTGCAGGGACCTGTTAGCATGGGCCTCGGTGACATGCAGCCTTCTCTGAACCCTCCCAAGGTTGGCAGCACCAGTCTGTCCAGCGGTCGGCTCCATAAGAGGAAACACAAACACAAGCATAAGCACAAGGAAGACCGGCTCCTAGGGACCCACGACAACCTGAGCGGTCTCTTTGCAGGCAAAGCCACAGGCTTCTCCAGCCACATCCTGAGTGAGCGGCTGAGTAGCGCAGACAAAGAGCTCCCGCTGGTGAGTGAGAAGAACAAGCATAAGGAGAAACAGAAGCACCAGCACAGTGAAGCCAGCCACAAAGCTTCTAAGAACAACTTTGAGGTGGACACCCTGTCTACACTGTCACTTTCCGATGCCCAGCATTGGACACAGGCCAAGGAAAAAGGAGACTTGAGCAGTGAGCCTGTGGACTCATGCACGAAAAGATACTCTGGCAGTGGCGGGGATGGTGGCAGCACGAGATCGGAGAACCTGGACGTGTTCAGTGAAATGAACCCTTCTAATGACAAGTGGGACAGTGATGTGAGTGGGAATAAAAGGAGGAGCTATGAAGGCTTTGGAACGTACAGGGAAAAGGACATCCAAGCTTTCAAGATGAACCGCAAGGAGAGAAGTTCTTATGACTCCTCCATGTCTCCAGGTAAGGCTAACTTTTTATTCAGATTTGGACTGTCTAATTATTTAATTGCTGGGCTTTGCACCTCAGACACATCTGTGGCACGTTGTAGTCACTAGCTTGCAAAGTGGTGGGAATCAAATTAAAATGGATCTCCTTGCACATTTGAGTTTGCCGCACATTTTATAGAATGTTTACTTGCTATCTACTACCTTTCCTCTTTCCAGGAGCCATTGTTTGAGAAACTATGAAGCCATAACCCTAATACCTGCCTAGGCTACAGTCGTACACACTACAGTTATGTTTTTTATTAAAGAGGCTGTTCTTGGGTCCTCATCTGATCTAATGGTACAGTTTACTGTTTGGATACAGCCTCTAAAACTTATTAGAAATACCAGTAAGATCCAAGAATGCCAAGCCTGGAAGGAAAAGACTAGCTTGTTTATCTGGCATGCCACCTCCAGAAGTCACACATCTTATGTGGGAAGTCCACTGCAGAGCCATTAGAAGCTGACAGCCAGTGAATCCTGAAGTCTAACTGATCAGGTAGCCACAGCCCTGGGCCATATTGTTTCCATTTTTGCCATGGGCATTTGATAAGCTGTCCTGGGCAGGCCCCTAAAATGAAGACTTGACTACATTCAGATACTTGTCATTTTTGTACACTAAGTGGAAGGAGGCAGGCTGGAAGATGGTGTGTGCCTCCTGCTTCCAGGAGACCTTATAACTGTGTCTCTCTGCATGCTCATTAGAAAGGGATTTTTCTTACTAATTTAAACCGAAATGTTGGTTGTTACTAGAAAGACCCTATTCCTTGTCAGTTGCTGGCATAATTTCCTTGCTAACCTCCCCAACTACACAAATTCTGCCCCACTTTTAGGGCCTCACATTTCTGCAAAAGTATCCCTTTGACCCTGGCCTTACAGCACATATGGTAAGACTTGTATAGAAGACTAGAACAGTTATTTATCAGGAAAATAGTAGAAAATTCTTACCTAGGAGTTGCAGAAGCTAAAAAAAAAGAAAAATTATTGTGTTCCCTCTGCCCCCAAATAATATAAAACCCTCCAACTAAAGCCAGGCTTTAAAAAACCAATCATCCATGTGTTTAAGGTTTCGTGTAAGATTTCACTTCTGTGTATGATGTGTACCACTCACTTCTCCTCTCCCTTCCCAGAAAGCCCATATTTCTTGAAGGCAGGAATAGTCTATTCATGAAGAATTAGAGACATTTTCTAGGCCAGCAGATTTCAGAAAGAAATATGATTATGAGGTAGAAACCACTTAAAGATCGCCCCAAATTACCACTAGCTTGTGAGTTGTAGTGGTAGATGTTCTCCTTGGTTAATGAAGAGACCAATTAGCAGAGTCACATCTCCTGCATTTGCTCAAGGTAATGAATGACCTACACTTTGTGTCTGCCCAAAGTGGACGTGATCATCTGGACTTCATCATTTCTCATCATCAGACTTTGTGGAAGGTGCTTGGTTTTATGCAGAGAGCAGACTAAGCCTACCTGGACAGGATCTTGCATAACATGTGAAAAACACTGTTGATCTCTTTCAGCATGATGAAACTGGTCATGGGACCTACACTAGCTGTGGACAGAAGATGTTATTTTTGTAATTGCATGAGCCTGATTTAGCTAGAAATTAATGGTGAGGGGTTATTGTTTAGAACTTACAAGCAAAAATCCTAACTTAACAGACCCAAAGAGCAAAATCTCAAGAAGCTAAAACCAGATGTTGTTGCAAGCTAGGTTTCTCAGCAATTTTACCAGGATTTGTCTGTGGCCATGCTGTATTGCTGAGTGCTGGTTGACTTCATAAAGTTTCCCAGCTGGGGCTCACATCCAGTCGCTGTGTGCCCGCACTCTAGTTGTATTGCTTTTCATGTGTTTGCATTTATATAACGCTCATCACTTCATTAAAACTCTTCCTTATCCCTGTCCCATCTTCTCCTCTGATCTTCAGCCAGACACTTGAGGTGGGGAGAAATAGGTATCATGACAATGTCATGAAAGAGAACTGGATTCCACCTGAAGAACTGAATACAAGGCCCAACTCTGTTACTAATTCTCTGTGTGGTCTTAGGCATGGGATTCCACTTCTTTCAGATACTGTCTGCCCATCTGTAACTTAAGGGGTTGGACCAGACCTTTTGTGTATAGTGTGCCTCCATTTTGAAAGCCATTTCACATAAGTTTCTATGTAACGCCCTTCCTGCAATCTTATAAGACTGGCACTTTTATTCCTATATTTACAGATCAGGATACTGAGGCTCAAAGAGATCAAGTGAACTCTCTAGGTTCAAAAAGCCGTTGGTCTTGATTCTAAGCCCAGAACTTTGCCTGCTGCATTGAAGCTTGACTGCCTGTCACTGAGCGAGTGAGAGCTGTATTTAGAACACAGCCCTTGGTGCCCAGTCCAGTGCTCCTCTATGTCATGTCTGTGCTTTCAGAATCTTACTCATCCTCAGATCATATGCCCTTCCCTAAGGTGTTTGCACAGTGATTATGTGATGATTACAGAAGAGAGTGATTAAGGAAAGAAGACATCCCTTTATTCAATTCCTGACCAGTGTAGAAGGAATCCTTATGGCCTTACCTTTTCTGAATATCAGCCTAGAGACACACCATGAACAGAGCTTCTACCTCTGTCCTTACTAACATCCAGCTCTCTGAGTTATTTTTGCCACTGCTTTTTGTCTATCTCTATCCTCTGTGAGCTTATTTTTTCCCAGAACTTTGATGAATCATAATTGTTGGTGGCTGCTGCATCTCTGTGCGCTATGCCTGATGTTCCTGCATATCTCATTGAGCTTCTTACTGAGACAGACCAGATTCCCTCTTATTCCCCTCCCATCCAAGCCTTAGCCACTCATTGCCTATATCTCCAATGTTTCCTTCATTGCTGTGCCCCCAAAGCATGAGAGAAAAATATCTTTAGCATCACATAGAATCCAATGTCAGAGTTTGTCAAGACTCCCTGAAGAGCATTCACCTTAATGTGATACACACTGAAGAGTGCTAAGTTCCATGAAAAGACAGGAGGCAGATGAGATGAGGCTGAGCCTACTAGATGCATTAAGAGCTTTTAGTGACTTTATCTGTGTGGAGGTGTGTGTTCAGGTGGATGATACTGAGGGTCGTGATTGGAAATAATCATCTGCACTTTCTATAACTTCTCTGCCTCCACCTTTTCCTTCTTCACACTTGATTCATTTCGTTAGCATCTGAATGTCCTATTTCATATGAGCTATTCTTCTCTAAAAGAGATAGAGTATAAATATAGATGTCATCCTTTAGCCTGTTGAGTACCAGACTTAGGAGCAGAGTCAAGAGAAGGCTTTGAGTGTTCCCTGAAATCAGAGCTGAAAAAGACACCATATAAATATGAGTCATTACCATTGTAGAGAGAGGAATTAGAGACCCTATTTTGCAATAGCAGCAGTTGTATACTCCATTTCCTTTTTCTTGCTTGGGAAATCTTTCATTCTTTGTCTTCCTGGCCCAGCAGATGGCTGCATTGTCTTGTTAGCCCTCTTCCAATACACCTAGAAATAGGATGCAGTATGGACTCCTGAACATTTTTCTGTATTTTACTCCTCTTTTTTTTTGGTTTCAGAATGCAGTGGCTCTTTTGTTTTCTAAATGCATACCATCTGCTAAATGTCCATTTATAAAAATGCTTGCCTGGGGCCAGAAAATGGATAAACAGTGGGAAGGTGCAATCTCAGAATTGGTATAAGCCTTATTGGCCTCTATTTGGGCCTCTCTGTGGGCAGGCATTGCCATCTCTTGCACAGTAACATGCAGCAGAGGGCCAGAAGAGCAAATGCATAGCCCGGGGATGACAATGCGTAGTCAGAATGATGCCATGTGCCCTCAAAGCCAAGTTTTCATAAGGTGGTGGGAGAGTGATGAGTGACGTTTTCTCTTCAGACCACTTGGAAACAATCTTTGCATACTTTGTCCTAAAGTTATGCCAGATACTGAGACCTCATGACAACTGCTGTCCAAACTCCTATCAGATAATTTTAAAAAAACAGTGAGATGTGTGAATCTACATGTTACCTCTTAGTTTAATGCCATTGTTAAAAAGGTAGCCATCCAAGTTCCCAAATGTCAAGTACTTTCCTCATGATGAGTGGAGGCTGAGAACTGATTCTGAGCGCACATCTCAGATATCCAAATCCTGCCATGTGGATAGCTAGATTCCCTGGTACCTGGTCCCCTCCACCTCTCCTTGTGGCTTCTATCTTGCCCTTATCAGCACTGTAGAAATTAGAGGAGGCAGTCTCTGCTGTCACTCACTGGCAGGATATGGATACTCAAGCCAAAAATAATACAAAAACCTCCTCCAAGCAGTCATCCAGATGAGGGAATTAACCACATGGATGAAATGTCATGAAAACTATATGAAAGAAACCTTTGAGGATCATTTCCTTAAAATGGAATAAAAGGAAGAAGAGGACTAATGGAAGGAGAAAATTAAGACCAGGAATAAAGAGAGTAAAACCTGGGAAGCTGATGAAATATAGTCTTTTTAACCTTAATCCAAGTCCAATTCTGAGTCCTCTTGTGGAAGGAAATGAAAGATTAATTAGCTAATGGCTACCGTGCAGTTTACATAAGATTAGGAAGCTCTGTCCAAGTCTTATCTCTCACACTAACCAGCTAAAAGACCTCTTCTGTTTTTTGACTTTCAGTTTTCCAGAATGGGACTATGACAACAAAAGTTCTGATCAGATCTGATAGTCTAGGATTCTAAAAGCCTCAAATTTATACAATGGAATTTCAATATGTACACACATACCCCACACACACACGTACAGGCAGAAGTTGCAGAGAAAATGTCCCAGTTATTGACCATGTTGACCAAATAATTAGTTATTCAATGAAGTCTGAAAACAAATACCACTGGTTGTATATTCATCTATGAGACTCACCCCATTCATCTTTAGCTCCAGCCACTTCACTTAGCCATTGGATTTCTCCTTTGCAAAAGGTGGAACTCCTATTA